ACTTTAAACAAATTCCTTTTCGGAGGAGGGGTAAGGAAAAAAAGAGAACCCCTGTTCGGGCAAAAGGAGCTGGAATCTATTTTGGTTGCGAGGTCACATGAGTTTGATACGTGATGAATTGCCGATTTAATGGGCTGGAGTCAGGAGCGAGGATTGTACAGAGGACCCATCGAGGTTGCAAATGAGCTCTCCCTCCCTCCCCTCTGCCCCTGCCTCTTTCTCTCTCCCGGCGTTTACATTTTTGTGAAATGAGCTTCCCTCCATAACCTCTAATTATTCCTGCAGCCCGAGGCAAACCTGTGCCACTTTCTCGCCATAAAACAAGGAACTCCAGTTTCCCAGAAACGCAGAATGCAAACGTGTACAGAGCGCGTTTCTTCGTGTTGCTGACATGAGACCAACCCATTTACATTATCATTCCAACACACACACACACCCCATACGTGCACGGCGCGCACACGCACACTACATCTAGATATTCCAACGAGCGAAAACTTACAAGACCGCACGAGGAAATCGCAGTGCAAAAAATGAATCTTGCATTCTTGTCGTTTTGGTAATTTTTTTGCGAGAAACAAACATTGCACCGTGACCCGGCGACCTGACTTTAATTTATGGCCACGGCTAACATCAGTGGCGAGCGGCCCCTGGGCTCCCAACTTCACGAACCTGCACTGACCAGCCGTGGTGAAGTAAAGGTTAAAGCAACACCAACGACTTGATACCGTACAATTTTACAGCAACAACCCTTTTTCGCACGCAAAAAATAAAAAAAACACATTACACATCAGAGAGCACGGCGGTGGGTGTGGATATACGTTACAGCCTGACCCCAGCAAGCAGTGACCTTTCCGTGAACCACGGCTAATTTTGGGGCTGGTGACCCAATCCTGAGCTGCCATCATCCAATCCAACCCAGCTGTCTGCTCACCGTCAAATGCTATAGCCTTCACTGTCAGGCCCTATTAGAGACGATAAGAGGTTCCTCTCTCTCCCTGCCTTTTAACTTTGTTCCCTCTCCTGTCGCTGTTGTTGTTGTTGGTGGCAGTGTTTTCTTGGGTTGGGGTAGGGGGCATCTGATAGGGAGCGAGAGGAGGACGGAGCAAGAGCAGGAGGAGCAGCGCACGTAACACGCGGCTACAGAAAGGGGGGCAGAGGGCGAGAGGGTTGGAGGGTTGGAGGGTTGGCAGAACGGATGGGGCGACCGACCGGCAGTGGCTGATAAGGCGGAAAGCTTTATCTCCAAAATTGCCCTGAACCAATCGAGTCGCCACGCTCTGACCCTTTTATTTTTCTGTAAACTCCCAATTAAGCCGCCCTTCAAGAAATGAGAAAGAACAGGCCTGGAATCTTTTCTTCATCGCTGATAAGGCACAACTATCGTTACCCAAGACATCGCTTGCTTTTGTTGTACTAATCAGATTTTAAAAAGGGGGTGGGAGGGGGCAAGGGGAGGAGAGTGTCGAATTTTTTTATGACTTTATGACCGACCATCCACTTTTTAACCAAACTGTCCGCTGCTTTTTTTTTTGCTTAAACAACTGCCGCTGGGTAAAATTGGTCTGGAGAGCCAAAAGGTTGATGGGCGAAAATAAATGTGTGTGCGTGTTCTGGTCTCCCAATCTGAAGCCACTGGTGTTAAAGCTACCGCTGCTTTTTTCATACGTATCTTCAAGCATGTGTGAAAAACGTTTGCCGCTGTTGATAATTGAGCTTAAGGGCTGGAGGGGAGGGGAGGGGTGGTTCTCACTCCAAGAAGAGGCAGCATGAGGAGGAAGAGTGCGAGAGATTAGGACGGCATTGGAGAGCTAATGTTTGGCTTGCTGGCTTTAGCTGAACCCTTATCTGCGGATTATGGATCAGTGTCGCCATCCACGCAGCAACTAAGACGTAATCCATGCCTCATTGGGTAAGGCGCTATGCACGTATGCACGTGCGTATTTAGGCATGATGTCCAACGTTTCACTCCACATCCTACGGGAGCTTCTACGATTCAGTCTTTGTAGAAGCGCCCAGAATGTGTTTGCGAAATGTCTGCACGTGGTGCCGAACAGGGAGACTTCGTTACTCACGAGAGCCATAGCGACGTGGAATTTCCACCACTATCTCAGGAATACCTTTTGTAATCCTTGAGCCCGCTAGGGTTTGGGAGTTTCGCAAATCTCGGGTGTGACCCTACCAACCCGCGGCGTCCCAAAGTGCCGGACCGCGCAGGCGTGTGCCAACGCGCCCGGCCGCGTCTGGACTCGTTGAGCTGTCCCTGGGACCCCTCTGGGGAATCGAGGTGGGTCGAGGTTAATCGCCGTGGACCCGAGGCTATTTGTGAACGACCGTGTCACCGTTTACCGATTTCAATTGTACGCTGCGCCTGCAGGCATGCATGGTATACAGGTGACGACCACACACGCACACCAGAAAGGTAGAGGGACAGCCCCACAATTCATTTCTTGCTCACGTCACCCCCGGGACTGAAGGCCCTACACCCGAGAGGGAGCAGTGAAAAGTCTACCCGCCCCCCACCCTCTGCTCTTCCACATTGGCCAGAAGACGTGCAAGTACCCGCACTTCACCCCACCACACGTGACCTGCCGCTCGACTAACCGCGGTGAACCCGTTCATAACCGCTGGGTGGGACAGAGGTGGAGGGGAAACCGAGAAACTTGCCCCATCGGTTCAACTGCCGCGCCGGAAGATCTAATCGAACTGGCGACCTCTGTCTTGCAAGTCGAGTGCGTGCTGTCCGTTAAACCACGGCAGCCAATCCACCACCCTCCCCCCCCACCACCACCACCACCCCCTCAATCGCCGGGTACAAAAGTCTATTTGCGAATGAAAGTACGAGTCCTGTAAAATAATGTAAAACGGGGTTAACTCTCTGGGTTTTGACGCTGCTTCACTCGCGCGCGGTCGGTCACGAGAGAGCTTTCATGTCAAAGTCGTCTCCGTCTCCAGCGAAACCCCCCCAAAAAAACGTGCAACGACCGCAGAGTTTTGTGCCTTTGGAAGAAAATGAGAAAAAAATCCCCACGACGACGACGAATCTGGGGCATTTCACAGCCCTACTTCAAACGCAGAGCGGTGGCGGCGTCGGTGGCACATGACGGCGCCGCTGCCGCTGCAAGCCAAAGTCGTGCCGTGGGGAAAGAGCTGCGCGCGACCGAATTTTCCACCGCACTGTACATCCGAGGGGGGGCAATTTTTTGGGTCACGTGAGCTGCCTCCCGTCGTTGGCCGTGAAGGTTACGTGGGCCACTGGTAAAGCGACGCTCGTTTTGTGTTTCCCCCCCTGTTGCTGTCCCGCTCGCCAAGGACTGAGATAGTAGCAAAACAAGCGCTCGCCAACTTCGTCAACAGCAACTGCGTGGCGGCCTTCAGGAGGGGCGGCGGGCGGGGGGGGGGGAATGCGACAGGAGGGCGACGTCTTGGGCAAAGACCATTCGCCGTCATTCATAGCACAATGCACAGAGAGACCACAGAGATAGAGTGGATAATAAGGGTTGGACTGCACTGAACACACCCATGGGGGGCCTTATGGAAAATTAAGTTGAAGAATTTTTCCACATGCGAGAGAGAAAGAGTAAGCCGACGACGATGTGTGCGCGCACACACGTGCACGGCCTATTTGGCGCTCCACTGCTGGATGTGCACGGCCCGTTCCATGCAGTGTGGGTCACACGGGTCAGTTGGTGAAGCCGCAGAGGAATGGACGTGGGAGCAGAGAAGTGCAGCACAACAATGGAGTTGTGACTGACGACGAAGTCGCCCAACGTGATCACATTTTATTTATTTTATTTATTTTGTATCATTTGTCATAAGAAGTCATTCGCCCCTTTGTCAATGCACTGCTGGATGAGGGCTTCCCGAAGCCGTGCAGGTCCTGTATGTTATTTGACCATTCTTCACGGCACCGGTCAATAAAAAAAAAAATGGTATTAAGCATGATATTGGCCGTGGCCTGAAATAAAGCTCGGCTCGCTGGCTTCACAGCCACAGTGAGCCAACCGCTGCGCCACCACTCCAAAATGACAGAGCGGTAAGTTCCAAATGGCGGCGGAGGTGGTAGCATCTGCGTGGCCGCACGCGCGGAAGCCGCGGCGATTGGAATCGTCCCGACGGCGTTTGCGAGGGCCGGCACGGGGTTCGGGCCGTGTGATGCTGGGAGGGGGGGGGGGGGCGGGGAAGTTGGAGGGCCGAGACGGGAAGACGACTGGCGGACTTAGGGTACGGCGGCGGCAGCGGTCAGCCCCCGTTTACGCTCGTCAAGAGACAGGTTTACGGCTACGCGGATTATTACCGATCGCCGACGCGTCCAGCTTGCATTCGTCAAACCCAACGGAAGCGCGCCATAAATATATAACGCTCGCTCCCAAGAGCCAGCAAAAAAACTCAAACTTGGGAAGAAACTATTAGGCAGCGACGAGGGTGGGGGGGGGGGGGGGGGGGGCTTTCCGCCGTCGTTATCTTTCCCGTCGCCAACTGTGAGGTGGATGAAGAAACTTCCTAATTCGGAGCTCTTGCCGTAGTGAGCGGTGCACCAACCTGTGTCGGAAGTCACTTCAGGAGGCCCCCTCTTTAAATCAAACACTCGATGTTCACCGCCGGGGAATTGTATCATTGTTATCGTGCTGTTTTAACCAGGAAAGCCTCACCGATCACGAAATACTCTTTTCAGGAGCATCCTGCCAAGTTTTCACCATAAAACATTATCCCGATTCAGTAATTTGCAGGTAATATTTCAACACTGGGACATTCAGCCAATTCCAGTTACGATTTTTTTTTTGCGCGGCTTCGGGAGGAAACTGGAGATCCCCGGAGGAATCCCGCGCTGAACATGAGAAGAACATGCGAACCCCACGTGGAAAGGTGAATCGAGTCGGGAAAGGAACCCAATAAACCCTTGGTCGCTGCGAGGCACGAATGTTACCGCTGCACCGTGCAAGCCAGGCTGGACAGTAGCGAGAACGCGACAATGAAGGGCGGCCGCGGAAGGAGGAAGCTACCTGCTCGGGCTTGAGTCCTGGCGGGACCCACGTGTACTCCTCGAGGGCACAGCCCGAGTCGTCGTCGGAGATGGAGTTGCGCTGCATCTCGTACGCGAGCTTGCCCACCGCCTTCTCCATCGTTGCGCCACCCGCAGCGTCGCCGCCCTCGTCGACGGCCACCTCCCTACGCGGGCGACAGCGGACGCACACGGGGGTTTAGCTTCGACGGTCGCACGTGGCTCGGCACGCCGGTCGCACGTGGCTCGGCACGCCGGTCACACGCGAGCTTATGCAAGGAGGCGGCGGTGAACCTGTGGGTCCCCCTGGCCCCCGCAGCTTCATCTCGCACGGCCCCTATGGCCACGTGTGGCCTGCCACTCTTGGGAAGGCCCGCAAAACGATATTTATCCATCACTGCTGCGGTTAAAATCGGGTGCTGCAGGGGAATTTTTCCACTGCAAAGGGCACATTTTCCGGTGGCATAAACGATCGGGGTGCGTGCGTGCGTGCGTTGTTTGCCATGCCAGGCGAGTTCCCCTTGAAAAAGAGCTTCTTAGCTAAACGGGCTTGATTCGGTTAATGTGTGGCCCTCCAATGGTATATGTCATATATGTAGAAAGCCCCAGTCGATCCCCGAGTAATGAAAAGGGTTCCCCGCCCCTGGTTCGTTGTCCTTCCCCTGCACCTCCGATTAGCATGGTTGGTAACGTAGGGTGTGAAAGAAGTTCAACATACAGCACATACAAGACCACCGCACATATGGGTTTCGTATTCTGATCACGTGGGTTTAACAAGTAGATCTCATCGGTGTCGCACACACCAATCATATGGTGTTAAGACCACCGGTTGTTTAACACAAAGATTCCAAAGGCTTGAATTATCAACGAGATGGGTTCAACAAACCCATCACTTGGGTTTAGTATCACGATCAGGTGGACTTAAACCAACAGTCGCTTGTGTTTTACCCAACCGGCAACGTCATTATAAAACAATAATTTATTCGTGGGTGTGAGCGTGGAGTGGTTCCTTCCATTATACATTCCATTCATGTGCAATGCATCCACTCATTCACTTTTTATCTCTGTAATTACTATAATTTTTTTCTTGCGTAATTCATGAACACATTTGGGCCGTGAGGATTTGCAGGGGTTAGTGTTAGGCCCCAGATTATGAACCAAAAACTATTTCTTTTATTTTACCAGGTAAGGCCCACAGAGCTATACAGCTCTTTTTCAGAAACGACCTGGCCACAAATGATAGCTCAACAAACTGGCTTATGATCATGTGGAAATGTACAGCAGCCAAATACTTTAAATGCATGTTTCTAAATATGGAGGGGAAAAACCGGAGGAGCCGGAAAAAAATCCACGTGACCACGGGGAGAGAGAGAGAGAGACATGCAAACTCCAAATATACAGCAAGTGTCAGGATCGGGATCGAATCCAGGACATCCTGCACAACAGGCGAGGGAGTTAACATCTCTCGACACGACCAGGATGCCTCGGGTCACCTCGCCTACCTACGTCGACTCTCGTTGGCACCGCGCGCGACTTTCGCGAAACCGTCGCGGGCGCGCCTAAAAAAAAAAAAAGAAACCCCTCGAAATCGGAATTGCAAATGCGCATTGACGATCGACGCGGGGCCACAGAACCCCGTGTCAGGTTGAGTGAGCTGTGGACAGTGTTCATCAGACAAGAGGCGAGCCGGCCTCCTGGATTATCCATTAATCCCTGGCACAACTCCCAGCCACACGGGGGGGGGGGGGGGGGCGGGGGGTCTTCGGCGTTAGGTCTTCACTACAGCTGGCCATGAAGAGCCAGAGGTTGGACAAAGGTGGCAGGGCGGGGTGTCGCTGGTGATACGATAGCTGCTGGGGGGGTGGGGGGGGGTCAGAGGCTGTGTAAGCACAGGGAGAGAGGATGCACGGGGGAGAGAGAAAGTACAGGGAGGATAGATGGAGAGACAGAGAGGATGCACGTGGAGAGAGCATACAGGGGGAGAGGACGCATGGAGTGAGAGAGGGGATACATGGGGAGAAAGTATACACGGGGAGAGGATGCATGGGGGGGGGGGGGGTAGAGAAGATAGATGGGAGCGAGCGAGTAGATGCACGGGGAGAGAGCAAACATGGGGGAAAGGATACGTGGGGAGAGAGAAAGGACGGGAGAGAGCGGGGATAAACAGAGAGTGAATGTCTCATTCGCATGATGTGGGTGGGCAGGGCCCAACAAAGTTATTCTGGCTTGAGGCCCAGTGCAGCCTTAATCGGGCCCCACTCTGACAACAGTAATCCACTTAATAGTATTAACGATCTGTGTTTTGACCCGCAGACCTTACTGCGGGATAAGCCACAAATAAATATGCGCGTGTATTGTATATCAGAAGTTAAGCAGCCGTTGAGCCTGGTTCGTTCTCGGATGTTGGCGACCTCCAGGGCTTGTAGGCACCGGGATGCGAGGTGTGGCGAGGCCAAATGCATGTGCTGGGTTCTCGCACACCGTTCACGATCTCCTCCACAAATACTGCTGGGAAGGAGACTGTGGTGGATCAATCAGCTCTAGGAGTGAATCTATCTGTACGGAGCTTATCAAGTGCCCATCGCGTCGCGTACACGTGGGTTTTCTCCGCGTGTACCGGTCCATCCTCCCCCGCCTTCACAAACCCGCACTGACCAGCATGGTCAAATATGGGCATGGGGGGGGGGGTGGGGACTTCATCCAGCAGTGGATTGACGCACGTTGTTATTCAATGTACACAAGACGGCTCTTCGTGGAGGAGCGCGGAGGTACACCCAACTCGCCTGCGTATACTAAGCAGGCCCCCGCGGGTCAGCTTTTGTGTTCCAATTTGCCCCACATTTGAATACATTACGCAGAGCGAGCAGATGCTGCCTTCAAGCATCTGACGGGCGAGCTTTGGATTTAAATCGGTCCGGACCTCCTTAAATAGGCATCTGCATCCGGGCGCGAGCGGTCACCTGTCAAACCCCCACTCATTTAGATTCCCTTGCGAACGTCACGGCGCCACGGAGCTGCGCGGGGACCCCGTTGCGGCTGTGCCGTCCCGGCCGGCTCTCTCCGATCGGATTGTCGCGTCGCATCCCGAGGTCGGGTTGGCGCAAGAGGTCACAAACGGGTTTTGATTCCTTACCCGTACCCGTACCCGGCCGCACCAGGGTCGCAAACGGGTACCCGTACCCGGCCGTACCCGTACCCTACTCGTACCCGGCCGGGTACGGGTAGGGTATCGGGTACCTGATTGCGACCTCTGGGATGAAGCCATGTTGCAGGCGCGGCTGGGTTGATTCTAGGAACTTGAATTGTGAGAAGAGACAAGACGTTGGGAAATGAGTGACAAACAGTTACTCACCAGTGACTCACGGTCTACCCGTACCCGTACCCGGCCGAACAGGGGTCGCAAACGGGTACCCGGGTACGGGTAGCCGGGTATCGGGTAGGGTACGGGTATCGGGTACCCGGTTGCGACCTCTGGTTTGCGCCGTGCGACGGGGGGTACGGTGTTGCAGCGACGAACGCACACGGGAGAGCCGTGAATGTTTACGTGATTTATATCCATCCGAGCCACCGGCATAAACCGCTTTGTCGGCGTGTGTGATCGCACACGCCGACCCCGGCGACCGTTTCAAAACATAACGACCGATTCTTTCACTTGAGCGGACATTCGGATGTTAACTCGTTTGATGGTGACACGTGCTTTAAAAGCATTGTGGTAACAATCTGTTAATTTACACCGATGGTTAAGAGCCGTGGTAAGGGTTTCTCTATATTTCACGTGGTAATGTCGTGATAGGTGCCAGATTGTGATTAAAAATTGTATCTGAGCCTTTGATATTCCTATTTGTCCTGCACTCACATATTGGTTGTTATTTTATTTTTACTTAGACCAACATGTATATACAGTGTGTGCAGACACGTGCCATGCTTTAATTCATTCAAATGTGAAATTGATTTTGTTTAACTAGCTGAGAACTTGAGAGACCTATATGATACTCATTTACCAGAGTGGCCTGGGGCGAGATGTTAACTACCTCGCCTGGTATACAGGAGGTCCTGGGTTCGATTCCGAACCTTGAAGCCTGCTGTATATTTTGGAGTTTGCGTGTTCTCCCCGTGGAATTTCTCCTGGTCCTCTGGGTTTTCCCCTCCACATTTAGAAACAACATCACGCGGCCGCTGTACATTTCCACGTGATAAGCCCACTTTGTTGAGCAAACCATTTGTGGCCAGATCGCTTCTGAAAGAAAGCTACGTAGTTCAGTGGACCTTACCTGGCAAAATAGAGTAGTGGTTTAGTTGGTTTAATCTGGCATGCTCAGGAAACAGGATCTCGCATTTGAACTCAAACTCAGCCGAGACTTTGAGCAATGCTTTCATGTTCCCCCGCTACCCTGCTGCAGAAAGATGCCGGCGAGAAGAGGAGAAAAAAACCCCAAGGAAAATGAACGGCACATTAGCTTAAGTGGCGAGAGAGGTAAAGTTACGGATTTTTTTTTAAACGGCACTAAAAACCCACCGCTAATGGCAAAAATTTCGCTTTTCTGTCTTTTTGTCAAACAGAGGAGACATGGCGCCGCAGGACGCCGTGCCCGAGTGGCGGCACATGTAAACTAGAAAGGGCCTACGGGATGAGGCTATGTAATTACCGCAATAACAATAATCATTATACTGACGTAAAAATTATAATAGCGACGTTGTGCCCTGAATCAATCTCCTTATGGATGGAGGCCACCCCCATTCGGTCTGTTGTAGGTCAAGGGATTTTTTTGCACCATACGACGGTCAGTGTGGGCTGAACGGTTTGAACGTCGCTCAGCATGCACTGACGTTAACTGTGCCTGGGATTCGAACTCAGGTGGGCGGTTTAGCAGCGCAGTTAGCGTCCTATGCAGCTCAAATAAACTGTTGTCACCACAATGATGCCGCTTATTAAAATAAATGTCTTAAAATCCTAATTGTACATGTCTATTTTTGTTGTTATATACCAAAAAAACCACCTAAACGCTCTACACAATCTAAATATAGTTCTTCACATTGTGTCACAGGAGAAAAAAAACCACACAATGATGTCGAGGTTTGTTTTGTATTCTTTTTCAAACCGAAATGTTTGCTGGGAAAGTTATAATTACAAAAGCAGAATGTTTGCTCCGAGCGTTTGCGTCAACGT